TGTGGAGGGAAAGGGAGGCAAGGAGGGGGGTGGGGGGTGGGGGGTGGCGGGGAGGGGGGGTGGGGAGAGAGAGAGAGAGGAGAAAGAGATGGGAGAGATGGTACAGTGGCAACAAAGGGGGCAGGGAGAGAGAGGAAGGGTGACAGTTGCTGCAGGAAGATGAAGGGGATGGTCATAGAGAGGTTGTGAAATGATGTAGCTGAAGCATACATGGCGGATTGAATGGCGGGGAAAAAAGACAAGGAGCAGAACAAGAAGAACAAGAAGGGGGAGAAAGATGCGAGCTCGAAGAAGAAGAAATCATCTAGTGACCTTTGCACTCAAAGACAGAAGCTCAAGGTGAATTGAAGCCTGCCTGCACTGCACTGCACTGCACTGCACTGCACTGCCTGCCTGCCTGCCTGCACTGCACTGCACTGCACTGCACTGCCTGCCTGCCTGCCTGCCTGCCTGCCTGCCTGCCTGCACTGCCTGCCTGCACTGCCTGCCTGCACTGCCTGCCTGCACTGCCTGCCTGCCTGCCTGCCTGCCTGCCTGCCTGCCATGCGCTCTGTCACGTGTCTTCTGTAGCTGCATTCTTGTGTACCCCACTCCCCTCGTTGTTCCCTTTGTTCCTCCCCTTCTCTCTGATTTTCTGTCCTCCTGTGTGAACTTCTCGTCAAATCTCACGTCTGGGTTTGATGCAGGAGCTGGGGTTGCGAATCAAAGTGAAACTTCATTTCTCTGTGTTTGCAAATCTCATACTCTCCTCAAGATCATCGAAGGCGACGGGAACTGTCTTTTCCGCGCCATCGCCGATCAGGTTGTCATGGTTGAGATGCTTGCAGACATGTTGAGACGTCTCAATCAGTTACATGGCGATGAATCATTACATCACAGAGAGAGGGAGAAGACGGTTAACTACATGGAAGATCACAAGTAATTCGATTCGCCTCCCCCATCCCTTGCTCCAATTGTTGTCCGCAGTATCCTTCCTCTCCTTCCTTTCTCTTCCTCTCCTTCACCTCCTCTGCTCCTCCACATGCTCTCCTCCCTTCGCTGTGCCCCTTTCTCCTCTTGCGCTCTTTCTCTCTGTGTTCGCTTCTTTCCTTTCCTCCTGCACTGCACTGCTCTCTCTTCTTCTCCTCACTTCTGTTCACAGAGATCAATTCGCCTGCTTCATGGATGAATCTGAATCCTTCGAAGATTATTGCAGTAGAATGCGAGAGGTGTAGAGAATATTCTGGCACCGTCTATGATTGCTGCTCCTGCTGCTCCTGCTGCTCCTGCTCTGCTTGCTCCTGGTGCTTCTTTTGTTCCAGTTGTTCCACTCCCCCCACTCCTCCTCTCACTATCTTCGCTTTCTCCTTTTCCTTGCCTCATTGTCTTTCTTCTTCTTCTTCTTCTTCTTCTTCTTCTTCTTCCTGCCGAGCTCACCACGTGCTCTGCTGATTCTTTTTCATTGCGAAGAATGGGGAATGGGGAGGAAATATGGAGATAGTAGCGAATGCTTCCTGCAACCAAATGAGCATAGCGATCCATCAGGTTGTGCAAGATTCAATGCAGACCATCACGGTGCTTGATTGCTTGTTCGTTTGTTGCTGATGCTCCCGAGGAGGAAGAGGAAGAGGGGGAGGGAGAGGATTTCAAGGGGGAGCCGGGGGAGGAGGGGAGGGGGGAAGAGGAGGGGATCGCTTGGTTATGAGTGACTGATGAGATCCGGACAGGCTGACATGCCATGTTTCATCGTTTCGCCACTGTCAGACAAACAAGCTTGTGTCAAGCGAACATTGCACATCAGCTTGCATGATGGTGAATCTACTTTTCACTTGGCTCTTGAACTTTTTCTTCTCCGATCCCTCCCCCGCCTCCCCCGCCCTCCCCCTGGCATCTTTCTCGCTTGCGCTTCTTCCGCTTCCCCTTCTCACGTCCGCCTGTCTCAGGCAACTGTGAAGCATGGGCTCACTACAACAGCGTGCGGCGCGAGGACGACCAGGAGGAGGGAGCGATTCCAAAACCGATCAACCTGACGAGCATGGTAGTACCGGGATGAGGAGGGAGAAGAAGAGGGGGATGGAGAGGGAAGAGGGAAGAGGGAAGAGGGAAGAGGGAGGGGGTAAGGGAGGAGACTGATATTATTCCTTAGGGAGATGGTTCCCAGAAAGCTTTATCCGGAGAGAAACCTGATCGTGCAGAGCAACAAGTAATGAGAGGAACAGGAGTGAATGATGTGGTAAGATGCATTGGACAAGATCTATGTCTCCTCTTCTCTGCTTGTTCTGCTCTGTTTCTCCCCTTCTCCCCGTCCGCCTCACTCCGCTTCTTTCTATCACTTTGCGTCCTCCTCTCAATATCTCCTTGCTCCTCCTCCCTCCGTTTCCTCCTCTCCCTGCTCCCCCTCAGTTTCTTCCTCTCCCTCCACCTCCTGACGCATCGATGAAGGCGTTTGTTCGCAAAGTGTTGGGAGAGGTCGATGGGGACGAGGATGCAGCGATCGAGTATATCATCTCCACAGGAAGAGAGGAGAGGTAAAGGGAAGGAGAGGGAGGAGAGGAGAAGTCGAGTGAGAGGGAGGAGAGGAGAAGTGAAGGGGAGGAGCGTTACGAGAACGGGGGACAAGGAGAGTGAGACAGAGCAGGGAGGCTGAGGGGATGCTGCAAAACTCCTTGTCACACTGGATGATAGGAAGGAGAGCGAAGGGGACGCGGAGGAAACGCTGCTGTCGAACCTCAAAGAAGGGACAGACAAGGAGGGAGAGGACAAGGGCAAGCCCTCTGCAAAAACGCGGAAGGAGGCCAAGGTTGGAAGGAGACTGCACTGAGCTTGAGATGACATGACGCAGGAGGCGAAGAAGGCAGCCAAGAGATTGAGCAAGCTGATTAAGAAAGGGAAGGAGGAGGAGAATTCGGTCCAGGAGCTTCACACTGGTTTTCAGGTCCCTTCCTGTCTCTGATCCCCCTGCTCCTCCTTCCCATCCCTTCCCTTCCTTCTGGTCAATCACCTAGTGTGGCAGGTTTTGGCGATATAAGAGCTCTTCTGTTGGACAGAAGCAGGAGAAGAGGAAGGAGATGGAGTAGCAACAGGACGATGTTGGCGGGTGGGGGCGCAGGGGAGGAGGAGGAGGAGGAAATGTGGAAGGTGGGAGGCGGCATTATGCACAGGGTGTTTGCTATTCACAGTTACAAGGCAGTTGACATGGCGGCTCTAAGGGCAGCTCGTCGGAACGCAACATCCTCTCCTAGCGCGTCCTGCGTCCTGCTGCACAGTCACTTCGCGCCTCCTCCTCCTCCTCCTCCTCCTACAAAGTGACTGCTCCTGCTCCTGCTCCTTCTCCTCTGCCAAAGAGCCGAGGAAAGCGCCAGCCGCTGCTTCCGTTGTCTTCGATGAGATCCGAGACTGCGCGAGTCAGGAGGGGAAGGGAGCTTGCGAGCAGAACCTCTCGCGCCTCCTCGTTCTCCGTTGCAGTGAGCGAGCACGTACATGGTGCCGACGACTATCAGGGCGAGAGCGAAGAGCCAGGCCGTCAGGCTCCTCCTGTCGTCAATGAAAATGTCGACCTGCCTTGGCTGTCACCCACAGTAGCAGCGAGGAAGAAGCGAGTTGCGATGGGGTTGGGGGCACGAGGGAGGGGGAGGGAAAGGAGCGGTGATAGCACTTGGCTCACCAGGAGGAGACTGACGGCCAAGACCCAATAGAGCAGTCCACGCAGCCAGTATATCTCAAAGCAGGAGAGCAGCTGAAACTGAATGAGGAAGAGAGGACAGACGTGAAAAAAGAAGGGAGAGGGGAAGGAAGAGGGGAGCAGAGGAGGAAAGCCAATAGGGTTGGGTTTGGGGGGAGGAGGTAATGGGAGCAGGGAGGAGAGAGAGAGGAGAAGAGAAGAAGCTACCTTCTGAATCATGACGCAGAAGTTGAGGAAGGTGCAGCAGAATGGGAGTTCAAGGACACTAAGAAGGACCAGGACGATCATGTGCATGGTGAAGTCAGGTAGATGAGCAATAACGGAGACGAAGGGGAGGAAAGGAGCAATCCACATGGCAGCGATCATAGCTACTGATGAAGTTCTTGCAAGCTTGAGCAGAGCACAGTCCAAGTGGAGGAAATTCCAGGTGGATCCTGAATCTCGTTCAAACCTGGAATATTCATGGGACTCCTCCATGATTGATGACTCCGGTTGTCGGTTTGTAGACTGACTTTCAAGAAGAGGTAGGATTGCTACAAAACGACAAGAGGAGCTGGAAGTGAATGATTTCCTTCCTGCAAAGTAAGTGAGTTCGATCCAAACATTCTTGATAGCAATCAACAAGAAAGAAGAAAGAACTTCCTGTCAGGCTGAAACACTAAGGACGATCATCGCCTCATCTTACTCATCTCCACATGTGCTGTTCACCCACTCTCTGTCTCCCTCTGTATCTCTATCTCTGTAAGTTTGGCTCCATGCCACTTCTTTGCTTCTTTGTTCCTGGTATTCGACATAAAGTCGATCATCAGCCAGACAAGCACGTCAGAGTCACCTTGCTTGTATGTTATGCCTTATTTCCATCTACCAGCATCTCAATCGGCATCAGCTTGTCTTATCTCCTTCTACCAGTATCTCAATCGGCATCAGCTTGTTTTTCGCTTTCTCGCCTTCTGATTGACCATTGGTATGTGAGAAGAACAGAGATCATGGTGAATCAGAGAAGATGCAGAGACGCAAGGACTGAGAAGAGGGAAGCAGAGGGCTGCAAAGGGGTGCTGAGAGGAAAGAGGGGAGCAGAGAGCGATGGGGCGAGAGGAGAGGAGAGGAGGGGAGGGGAGGGGAGGGGAGGGGAGGGGAGAGCGAAGGGGAAGAGAGGAGAGCAGAGGGGAGCAGTGGAAAGAGATTAATCTGCACATTCTGTATTCCTGTCCTGCCGCGTTCCTCCCTGCCATTTCCCTCAAAGTTGCGGCAGTCCACAACCACCCGCGTCCATTGCGCAGCAAACCACATCCTCCAGTTACGGAAGAACGGTTTTAAGATAACCGTTGCAACTGTCGGAGCATGAGGGAGGAGGGAGGGAGGAGGGAAAGAGGCAAGAAGGGACGAGGGAGGAGCGGAGAAGGGTATGGCAGAGGCTGTCGAGCTTCTAGTAAGGCACAATGGATAGCGAAATCAGATTTTGCATGATTGATCTTGTTCGCCATTCCTTGCATCATTAGCAGCATTGCAATGAAATGAACAAAACTCAATAAGATGAACAAAAGCATATGGCAAGCTGAGAGAACGAGTAACGGCCACGATTGCTTGTTGAATCTGATGGAACCTTACTCTTTCGGCAGTCTAGGTCGGGCAGTGTATGCAGTGAATCTCACATCAGCGAATATGGCAGGAAAGTCTCTCTGGCAGGTTTGCTGTACAAGAGCATGGCCGGCATGCACTTCTCATCTTTCTGATACAGAAGTACAAGAGCTCGAACCCACGCACCCGGATTAAGCTTGGGCTTGCTGGAATTTGCTTGTCTTTGGTGGGATTGGCCATGTTTCCAGGTCAAGTTCATCGTTGATCTTGGGGGTTGGATCTGATGATTGGTGTAGGAGAGCCGGAGGCTGCGAGGCCACTGATCAAACGGGAAGCAAACTCCAAGCATTAGCTTCTTTGTGTGGTGGTTTTGGTTTGGTTCCTGTTCTGTGCTTCCATCAAGCGTCTCTGCTACCATCTCCATTCTCGAGCTACATCTCCATCACCCCCGCTCCCCCCCCCCCCACCCCCCATATTTTCTCGGAAAATGCTACACCGACGTAGAATTGTTTCAAGATCCAGCACAACAAACAAGAAATTTGTGAGTTTCCTTTAGATCTTTGGATTTTTGGATATTCAAAAATTGTTCCGTATTTGTCGCTCGATGATGGTTGACCTGTCTTGGCTCTGCTATCTTCGAAACTTACGCGCTTTCTATTTCCCTGATCTTGTGGCGCAGAATCGACGGGGTGGCAGGGCAAGAGCGTCTGTGCGTAGAGATGCTTTGGAAACACTTCCTGTCGGCAGTTGGCTGATAGTTTGGGCCGTCATCGCTTTTGTCTCCTGGATGATCTTATGGATTAGTACGGTAGCTGCTCCTTCACTTGCCCCTCCTCTCTCTTGCTTCTTGCTCCCTTACTTTCAACTTCTTTCAAATGTCTCACAACGTTCTCTCAATGTTCTCATACTTACCCTGTGGTTTCGGAACATAACCCAAATTTCTACATCTATGTGTTAGCTAATCAGCTGATTTCTTTGACTTCAGATCCTGTATCTGACTCTTCCGAAGCCAATGTACGAGCGGCATGTTCGTAGCTCTTTTTGGTTCTGGATGATTTCAGTGAGCTTTTTCTTCGCGCTTCTCTCCTCTTTGGGACTCGCATGGCCTTGGTAACTGGGCATGTTGCCTGGTAGCTGCTGATATGGAGTTGTCGCAGGATTGGCGAACCTTTCTGGCAATATTTTCGAAATCAGCGACGATGGAGGGAAGAAGAGAAGAGAATGCTGCAGGGCAAGTTTGTTTAGTGTCACTGTGACAATCATTAACTCCGAATTGAATTGATCGGCCGGGACCGTGTGAGCCGGGGCCGCCCGGCGCCATGCGGATACCGTCGTCGGTCACGCCGCTCAACTTCACAGTGACTGAACCGACGGGAGTCACTCGGACTCAGTGCCGCCGGGCGGCTCAGGGACCCCCGGGCCGGCGGACCGGCGGGCGCCGGCGGCGGGCGGCCGGGCCCGGCCGGGCCGCGCGTTGGCCCAGTCCGACTGTGACTGCCGCCAGGGCACCCGGCCCGGCGGCGGGCGGCGCCGGACTCCCGCTGGCCGCCGCCGCACACGCGGCAACCGTCCGTACTTCAAGTCATGGTCACCCCCGCGACCGTCGGCCTTCAGGCTTACCCGTTGAAAGGTCCGTCTCCGGCCGGAGGCTCCCGGCCGATTGCCAGCCCGTCGGGGGCCTCGTACTGATTTTTAACTTAACTTTGAGTAAAGTTTAGACTCTCAAGGTGCCACGGTGCCACTGCCGCAGTGCAACTTCGGACCGTTCCTCCGACTCTAGGGGCTCTTTACTCCGAACTTAATTTAAGTTCAAATCCGACCGACGGCGAGCCTTGAAGAGAAAGACAGCGAGAACCAAACCCAATCCAGGGGCTATCTGATCTGATAGTCACGGAACTGCCTGACGGACTGATCTGGCGTGACAGTGAACTCTGATCGGACGGTCCGGACTGGGGCCCGGGGGCGGCCCCCGGCCGGGCCGGCCCCGGCGCGACTGAGTAAAGGCGAACTTCAGAATCGCAACGACTGCAATTGTTGTCACAGTGGGACGGTAGGTCAGACGCTCGACCGGGGCCGCTTGGCGGCCGCAACTGCTACTAAGCAACAGAGTTTATTCCTGTCATGATGCCGTGACTCCATCTGTAGTAAATGGATTTCGTTGTAAAGATACACATGACATGGGTATGACACTTGTAGTAATTTTCTGAATTTATGGGTTTGAATCAACAAAACATATGGATTTAGATCGATTCCAAACCAATCCGTCTTCTTGTTCGGTCTATACCGAGTACAAAAAGGAACCCTACCCCTCTGACGACCACCAGAAATACTCAGAATTGACCATCTACAGACTTTTGGTATTTTTGAAATTTGTACCATTTTTACAACGTTTTGATAAAAACAACAAGATCACTACGACAATTACTACACAGCGATGATCACGAGGATTGATGATGATTAACAAACAAATCAGCTGACAGTCTTTTTTATTCAAATAGTAGTTCAAAGAGTATCATGCAATTTGCAATTGTGATTGAGAAATTCCATTACACTTGAAATTGGTACGAACCCATTTCTTCTTTACAACAAAGCCATCGTCATTATAGAATCTCTCATAAGAGGACAACAGGCTTCTAGGAGCAGTTTACCAGAACTTGTAATTTTCCTTTTGAGTTTCGAAAACATAGAAAACATATCTCAAAGGAAATTCGAAACTGCTTGGATCGAACCTATCTATTTTACTACACTTCCTTTAAAATTGTTTGATTTTTTTTTCAAAAAAAAACTTCCGATTGCTTCCATCGGTTTCGGACAAGACTACTCTCGAGAGATACAAGTTTGGATTTTAACCCTGCTGAATTTGAAATGACAAGAAGATCCACTAAATTTTGTCCGATCTTTCATTTCCTTCAAGGCTATCGCCTCCTATCAGGTCCTCGATATGTAGTAAGCATCCTCCTGTTGTAACATGAGATAAAACATTGTATAAAAGTCTTTACTACATTGTAGTAAAGACTGTTCGAGGTTACCCCCCTAGTTTGAGGTTTCCCTAGGTCAACACCCCTTGATTGTACAGCTCTCCAGCTCATCACGTTGGTTGTACCCCCTGACTTCCCTTGTTCTACCCCACCATTTGTCGAGTCTGATGCAACGTAGGGGAACATTCGGTCCCCCCACCCCCCCACCTAATCCCCTACCCCTATCAAGCTCTGTGGACCTTTCCCCCACCTCCAGACATTTCGACCCTCGAGTTTCCACAGACTACCCCTACTATCCCCATCAACTACCCCCACCTCAGGGGTGGAAGGTCCATCCTCTCCCACCTGCAGCTCGACGCGCTTGTGCATGCACAGCTTGCAGAGGTCGATTGTTGGCTGAAGCGAGAACAAGTGTATTTTCCTCGTTCTGTTTGATCGGATCCTCTCCTCGTCCCGCCTCTCCTTCTTTTCTCTTTCTACTTTGCTGTTCTTTCTTGAACGGCCTCAGGATCGAGTGTGGTTTCTTGCGAGAGCCAAGCATCTCTTTGTTGTCGATCTATCTTCAAAATAGCGCCTAACAAGATGATGACGGAGAATGTGCCCGATGCACACTCCGTAACAGCAATGATCCAGGCATCTCCTGAGTGTGCTTCTTGCTGTACACAGTATGATTTTACTCCAAGCCCGTTGCCATCACCGTTCCCCCCTGCTACAAACCGAATCATTTCTAAGAATCATCCGGTGCCATGCGAGAATCACGTTGTCTCTCGTCTCAGCGATTGTCATGTTAGAAGTCACCATGGACATGCTGCACATGATTCAGTATGTGCCAATCGTCATCCAGACGATATTTCAATCGCCACATGGAACGTTGCAGCTGTGAACAACAATCCTTTCGAGTACTGGGTCACGCACCCTGATCCTGCTTATAACTCGTTGATGGAAGGAGTCCAGAAAGTCATTGATCATCCTGAAGAGTACGACGTCGAAGTTCATGAAGTTCTGACAGACTCCATGGTGGAGCAGCTCATGTGTGACCTCCAGCGCCAGAAGGCTGTAGGCATTGCAGAGGTGAAGCAGCTTTGGCAGGACGACTTCAGGAGCAGAAAGATCGTCTCAGGATTCCTCAAGGATTCGAATATCGGCAAGAAGAGGCTTGCATCCATGCCTGACCGCATTACAAACACAATCAACTGTGTCGGCGGCCAGACAATGAAGCGACCGACGGTTATCAACTATTACGAGAAGGACATGGGGGACAGAGAGTCTTGGTGGTCGCAATGGCGAGAATTTATCTTCAATACCGAAGTTGAAGTGTACAGTTCTGGAGCTCGACAGGCGCCAAAGGTAATTCTGTGAAAAACTTCAGCTTCTTGTGCTGACAAAGTCTTCAGTTGGTTTACTCGCTCCTCGAGCCCATTCTTCACAAGAAATACCCGGCTCTCTCTGTCGAAGAGGAAAGGATCAGCCTTCCTCTCCAAGTTCTTTGCCTCGCCATCTTCGATGCGATCCAGCTTCACATCTTGAACACGGTCGCGCCCGACTCGTGGCAGAGGATCAGAAGGTCTCTTGCGGACGCCTTACTCATCAACAAAGATAGGTAAGGTTCTGGTGTTTGATGTGACCTTCGTTGATCTATCGTCTCGCAGACAAGTTGCATCTGTGATTTTGAACACTTACGGCTCCTACGAGATTGTTTTTGTTCAGGTGAGAATTGTCCATTGCTTGGTTCATTTGCACGATTGCTTACTTCATTGATAGGAAGCGGCTGGGGCGTTTGTACATGGAGAACCAGGAAACTTGTTGGAAGAGCAGTACATTCCTCTCTTGCCTTCAGTCATGGATGGAAAGAGAGATCAGGTTAGTTCAATCAGTGTTTTTTCTTGTGATGTTTTCTGAAAGTTCTGTTTGTAGAATTCCCTTATCCTTGTAAAGAAAGATGTATTTCTTGCATCTGCTGCTCAGAACATTACAGATGAGGTGCTTTACCTTCTGTAACTATTGCAATCTCACTATCAGCAGGTTCTCCAAGTTCACAAGAAGGCAACTGAGAGCACTCCCGGAGCCGTTTTATACCCCGGAGATCTTGCGGCTTATTGCATCGATGCCACCAACGGCAGGAAGTTCCTTCTAGCCTCGTTTCACGGAGATACCAATGGGCTGGCCACAGTCCCTATCGTCCGGGCTCTGCATGAAGTTGCCAGCACCAAGTACCCTGAGCGCATCCTCATCATCGGACTGGACGCGAACACCTACAAGGTGCACAACGACCAGTATCAGGGAGTCTCAGAGTTCCAGAGCTTCTTGGAGGAGAGAGGGTTAATCTCATGCTGGGGCCCGACACCCAATCCCTACAGCCCCACCACTTGCAACGCCCGTACGTTCCTTCAGCCCCAGCTGAACAAGGTGAGAAGGAGAAGATGTTTACGGTTCGGATGGCTGACAACTGGAGCAGGCGGTGAGAAGGGACGACAGAATAACAAAGGCAGACAAGAATCTCAAAGATTGGATCGTCTTCTCCTCGTCCCAGCTCGAGTGCCGATGGTAAGCGAGGACGCTCATGGTTGAGACCGAAGGTGACATGTTTGCAGTGCACACAAAGACAACACCGGAAAGGCATCCTACATCGAAGACATGGTCTTTCCTACCATGAACTTTCCTTCCGACCACGCCATCGTCGCTGCAACTGTCACTGTGAAAAGGAGCGAAGTATGATTAGGATGATCGACAATTTCGAGAATCTATTGTTATATATGCCAGTCTGATTAAATGAAGTTTTACATTCATCTCATGTGCTGTTTTCCAAGCGCTCCTCTCTCACTTGGCATCCTCTCCATGCTGACAGAGGCACGATATTGTCTGGGTTAGAAACTGCTGACTGGGTTATGCTATCTTCGGGGGTTAGGGTTGAATGATTTCATTCAAGTCTGTTTGTTTCACAAGATGTGTTAAATTCCTGAGGTATTTGTTCTACTTTGCCCGTATTCCACTTGGTTCACGCTATCGCAACTTTATTGCTCGCCATCGTGACCATCCGATTCAGCCGTTGCGACACCTGCCCCCGAGATAAGCATGCCTCCTCTCCTTGCATCTTGGCGCTTCTCTGGCATCAGGTTCTCACCTCTCTCATCCTCGGACGTCGCTGCGGGTTGTGATGCCACGAGTCGGCGATGAGAGCGATGTAGTCATGTGGGCTGATCAAGTCAGTAGATGAAAGTGTGGTGCGGGAGGAGGAATGCAACCAAGCAGGATGAGCAGAAGCAGAAGCAACGAGATTGGACGCAGCGGTGTGTTCGGATGGGATTACCATCCAGGAGGAGCCGTGGGAGGCAGTCGAAGTCTCCTTCCTTGAAACCCAACTGAGAAACGAGTGAGTGAGGAGAGAGGAGCAAGACAGGAGGTTCACCGATGCCCGGAAGCTGCATAGGATCCACGTCCCTCCATGGCTGCAGCGACAAGAGATGCGATGCGGAGATCAGCATGGGGATGTTGAGGTGAAGACTCAAGGTGCAGGGAAAGGAGGGAGGGGAAGAGCAGAGAGGGGGAAAGAGAAGGAGGAAGGGGAGTGGAGGAGGTATCGGGAGCAGGCAGGAAGATCACCTGCTCTAGTGTGAGCATCTCCCACAAGACGACGCCGAAGGAGTAAAGGTCCGACGACTCATCAAACTTCTCTCCTCGGAGCACCTGAGAATGTATGAGTAAGAAGAGGAAGAGAGGAGAGGAAGAGAGGAGAGGATCATGTGAGGTAAGAACAAAGCGAAGCGTGACGTCACCTCCGGAGCCATCCATCCCGGCGTTCCTGCTCGGTTGTGACTCGTCGCCACGTGAGTCGCATTTGTGCGAAACCTCGCCAGACCAAAGTCGCAGACCTTCACAGAGCAGCGCAAGAATCAGGCCAGGGGCAGGAGGAGGAAGGGGAGGAGGAAGGGGAAGGGGAGGAGCGGAGGACCTTAACATTGTAGTTGAGGTCGATCAGGAAGTTGTCCGACTTGATGTCTCGATGTACCACCGGCGGCTTCCTGTGGTGCAGGTAAAGAATCCCAGCGGCAGCCTGACTCGCTGCCCAGCATGTCAGAAGCATGAGCAGAAGCTGTCGACCCCTACCCACGCTGAGCTTGCGGGTCCAGTCCAGCGGCTCTGTACGAAGAACGTCATAGAGGGACATCTTGGGCAGATATTCCGTCACGATCGCCAGGTTGGGCGCCTGTCAAGGCAATCAGTCAGCACAAGGAGAACATCTCCATACGATGTCTAACTAGCGATAGCACTCAGAAGGGAAGGCAGAAGGACAAGATGAAAGATGGGAGCAAGGGAAGAGCGAGGGAGGAGGAAGGAGGAGGAAGGGCAATCCATAATCACCTTGGTGCAGGCCCCGACAAATTGAACGATATTGACATGTCGCATGCGGCTCATGATGTCGACTTCAGCTCGAAACTCTTTGATCTGCGGCGAGACATGAAAACAACCTTCACCCGACAAGAACTTCCTACTTGAGTTTCATCCAGTGCCCGCGTCACTCGCAGAACCTTGACAGCAACCGCTGAGGCTCTTTTAGTTCTTATGGATCCATCCAGGAGGCCAACCAACCTGACCCGAGCCATTTGGCCTTGTACACATCTCCGAACGTCCCTGACCCCAACAGCGTCCCGAACTCAATGTCGCTGCGGGGAAATGAGAATTCCCAACAAGCATCAACATCTCAGATAGACAGACAGAGAGCAGCTCACTTGTAGTCAACCTCCCACTCCATGTCTATTCCTAGAAGCCCATCCTCCCGCACTTGTGCAGCCGCTGTCGGTTCCTGGTTGACCTGATATGGAGAGGGCTGGGCCGAAGGAATAGGAGGAGGATCACTCTTGACCGACGCCTGTCGACGAGACTGTCTGCCTTCTGTGTAAGCAGGCTTTCTCTCTTCCTGCCTGCCTGCAGAGCTGTGAGGAGATATCGAACTCGGTTGTGTGTCTCCCGAAACGATCTGGCGCCGCGGGAGAGATTCAGCGTCTACACGACGATGTCAGCGGAAAAACACATGAGAAGCGGAGGTAAAATCAGGATGCAGAAAGAGAAAGAGCAGGAATCTGCAACAAGGCGGGATGGAGGGATGGAGGGATGGAGGGTGGGAGGGTGGGAGAGAGGGAGGGAGGGAGTGATGACAAAAAATAGAGAAAACGAGGGAGGGAGGGTGGCAAAAGAGCGAAGGAGGGGTGATGGTGCAAGAAGAAAGACAGGAAAGGATTCAGGAAGGGCATTGAGATCATACCAAAGTCAAGCCGATCTCCATCGCCGACCCCACCCGTCAACGGAGACAGCGTAGGAGCCATCTGCCGCACCTTGGCGCTGTCTGGCTGTTGTGGGGCTGAGGTGGAAGGTATCCTTCCCAGTCGTTCATCACGGCCCTTGCTCTGCTGCACTTGAACAAGATCCTTGAGGGAGCAATCCTTGAGGAAATCAATGATGTCCTCGTAGTACAATTCACGTGCTACATCTTCGGCTGTGCGGCCATTAGCGTCTTTAGCTTGCAGCATGTCAGGGTTGGCATGGTACACAGCCGCCACGGTCGGCAGGTGTCCACTCGACACAGCATGATGAAGTCCCGTCTTACCTTCATCGCAAGCCACCCGCATATTGGCACCCATTCGTATGAGGAGGGAGACCATACCGTCATGCCCGTTCTTCGCTGCGACATGCAAAGGGGTTTCACCCCCCGCTCCTCGAGCGTCGCTCTTGGCACCATGCGAGAGCAGCTTCGATGCAGTAGCGACTCTTCCATCAGACGCTGCAAGGTGCAGAGGTGTCAGCCCTTGTTGCGTCCTGCTCGTGAGATCCGCTCGCGCGCTGAGCAGCAGGTCGAGGCAGGCGTCGCCTCCAGGGAAGGAGAGGAAGCAGACCAGGTGTAGAGCACTCCATCCCTGACGGTCTTGGACATTCACATCGCCTCCTGTCTCCATGAACGCCCGTAGGATCTTCTCTGCTGTCCTCGTCGCCCCTCGCCCCTCGCCCCCTTCCCATCCTCCTCCCAAGCCCCCACGCATTTCGCAAACTCAGCGCGCTCACCTCAGGACTGGGTGATAGCTGGATAGCAGTGTATATCTGCTGCCTTTTTCGTTTTCTAGTATTTTATTGAGGCGGGTTTGTAGGCTTTATCCTCCCCCTCCTTTGTTTGCTCCGGTTTGCCCTTCTTTTTCAGTCAATAAAGCTTAGTATAGCAGTAGTGGCTGGCGCCCATGATAGGCCCAACGAGGCGTTGCGGTGCCGGGGCGGCAAGCAAGACCGTCAGGACAATGTCGCCGGAGGATCTGAGGAGAGGCTAAGGAGAGGAGGGAGGAAGAGGTTGGCATGCCGCTGAGCTAGTAGCTGCGACGGTAGCAAGGAAGGGAATGTTCTACTTCGATCAGTCATGCTAATGCCAATCGATCCCAAGACTTGTTGGGATTGTGTGCCGGTCGGAGGGTAGTTTCTAAGCTCATATCAACCGCCATGGGCTCCTGACTCTCATTGCTCTTATCCAAAGCCCTCAAAGCTGCCATGGCGCCACAGATCACAGAAGATCAGTTCATAAAGGAATCCATCATACCCACGCTGATGAGAAGCAACAAAGACAGGTCTTCCTTTGCATTTCACCTTGAAGAACGACAGATTCGAGCTTTGGCACAGATGCTTCATCGGTTGCATGTGGAAAGAGGAGATGTGCTATTTAACGCAGGCGATGCTGCTGATTTCCTAGCGCTCATAGTGAAAGGCGAGTTGTCGTTGCAATCCTTTGGTAAGGCGGTAATGAGTCTGGGTGAGGGAGAAATGGTCGGAGACGTGGAACTCTGCAGTCTGAATGACTCAAAAGTCTTGCGAGATCACACGGTAATTGCGGTTCAGGACAGCATCGTCGCTACCATCAACTATGATCTTTTTATCGACTTTGTTGAAGCTCTGGGACCTAAGCAAGCAAAGAAAGTGAGTCAAAGCCTCGCGAGTGCGGTGGTGAAGAAGATTCAGAAGGAAGACGACGAGGCTATGCTTGCAGACAGACATCGGTTGGAAAACGTAGGGACTCGGAGGAGGAACGCGATTTCTTACTCACCGTTTGACCGCACGCGAATAGCGCAAGCCAGGAAGTCAAAGGATTTGTCGAAGATCCAGGAATTGTACAGCCTCAAGTCTCATCCTCGTATATCAGACCCAGAGATGATGCAACTGATTGACAAGACTATGGCAAGAATTCCGTTATTCTCTGTGTTAGACAAAAATCTCAAGGAGATTGTACGTGGACTGTTTCACATGGTCAAGAAGTACAGAGACGACGTGATTTGGAACTTGGGTGAAGGTGTTGAATCATTCTTGATTGTCTTCAAAGGAAATTGTGCTCGAGTTGTTTCTTCTGTATCCAAGACTCAGCCGCCAGCGTCAGATGTTGCTGGAAAGATCCTCTCCTCAAAGTATTCGCAAGCTTCCTTCATAGGCTCCAGTATCTCGCGACGAGACTCTATTCGGCACTCAGTTGTCTCTGGTGAAACCTTACAGACTGAACCTTTGACAGCCGGACACTTTCAAGCAGGGATACAGAGCTCTTTCACAGGCGATGACCTCTCATTGAACTCTCATGAAAACGCTTCCGCTAAAGAACATAATGATGATGCACGGGATTCAAAGCATGAAGAACCCGCGACAGGGAAAAGCTCCATCAACTTTCAGACTTCCAGCTCCATGCTTCATAGAAAGGCAAAATTGAAGGAAAAGGGACCGTTTGAAGTTGTTTCGACGATCATGCCAAAGGAGGTAACTATAGAAATAATGTGGGCTTGTAACTCAACTAACGAATCGTTTGTTCAGTGGTTTGGAGAGCTTTCGCTTGTTCAGCCTTGCAAGGCCGATACCAGCATCCGGTCAATCAATGATGTTGTTCTTCTGAGCTTGTCGTCGCGAACCTTCCATGAGTTGAAGTTGGACTATGAAAAGCACCGACATGAAGTCAAGAAGAGCTTATTCCTTAACACACCTTTTGCTCAACATTTGGATTCGGATCAACTTGCCAACATTGTCGATGCTATGGAAGAAGTCGTATTTGGGGCTGGGATTAACATCAAGAACGAAGATTCTCTTGAGGATGATGTTTTCTATATCTTGGAGGAAGGGTTGGCAGAAGAAAGACAATATGCTGCTATGCGCAAGTTGGTTTCCAGAGAGCTAGGGCCTGGAGACTTTTTCTGCGAAGATGCACTGCTTTTGTCTTCAATTAGTGAAAACCCTCGCAAAAGGGTAAAGTTGCAGCCAAGAATCGATGCCAAATCAGAATGCAAATGTCTTTGCTTAAATCGAAACGATTTCCATAGATTGATAGGATCTTTTGAGAACCTCATGTCCAGCAAACTTCAGGCGTTAAACCATGCATCGTTTGACTCGACAAGGAAGCACCGATCAGCTATAGACTTCAAGGAGATTCTCGCAGCTGATACAAAGCAGGACATTGTTTCTGAGAACCACTCGAGCTCAATTCAGAAAGTTGATGAGAGTGCCAATGATGATGAGAATACTAGTACTTGCGTTCAAGATACCTCTGCTTCTCATCGAATGTCAGTGGATGACAAACAGATGAATAGAGCCGTGTCTACAAGACTTGATTCTGAACCAGATGACTTCCTTGGAATTGTTGAAATGCATTGCCAAGAAATGGTAGAGCAAGTGATGGAAGAAGTTCTCTCTATGTTTGAAATCATTTCTGATTCGACTCTTGAGCGTCCCAGCTCAAGTAAATCAACTCCTCGAGTGTTGGACAAGCAAAGTGTGCAGAGCAACAAGTCGGATGGAATACATTCAATCTTCCAAGAACAAGGCGTATCCTCGAGGCCGTTGACAACGAGCTCGTTTGTAAACAGAGGAGGAGGCGTCTCCATGTTTCCTCAGGGAGAACACGATACTCCCTTGTTCCGTTCGCCTTCAAGCACACCCAATCCCAGCAGGGCTCAGAGCAGAGCGCAAAGTCGAGGACAGCTTTTCAGCCCCAAGTCGATGAGCCGGAGGATGAGCAGCCGAGGACACGTTGGTAGCCGAGGGAACATTGCCAGCCGTGGAAACATTGCAAGTAGGGGAAACCTGATATCTGCCGGAGGAATCGTTATGTACAATGATGGGGAGCTCTTCTCTCCAAGAAACGATGCCGGCAATGGAATTGAGTTGTACATGATTGATGATGAGGCACTTGGTGAGAGATTTCTGCGCGGGCCAACTCATCGGCTTACTTTGATTTCCAACAGATCAAGAATCTGCAATTCAAGACACCATGGAACCATATGCACCTGTGGGTCAAATTGAAGTGCACGATAAACCAGGAGCTATGGATGAAAACAGAAAAAAGCTAAACAAATTGACGACTCCAATTCCCAAAAGCAAGAAACTTCCAAGCGTAAAGGTATGATGTCTGCGAAAGAAAGTTTTATTCACTTGATTACAGCAACAAGCCTCGCACGGCTTAAGCAATGAAACAACACCGAAGAAACGCGGCTCACTTGCTGAACCTGTGAAGCTAAGGTCAGCTACGAAGGGACTAGACCAGGTGGGTCCTTTGCCAAGCCTGTCATTTGCGATGCAAATGAGATCGACGCATCTTTACAGAAACGAGCGCAAAAGGCAGGGCGACTAGAGCGTCTTCCTGTAAGAAGCGTAAGTAGAGAAGTCTCGACGGTAATGCCCTCCCAGCTGGTTCAATCGGAAACTCTGCTCAGTGTGCAGCAAGCTCTCAAAATGTACTCCTCTTCGCTTGACGAGTACGACGACCTGCCCTCCCCTCGCGAGCTTTCCCTGGAGATGAGATCCAGCTTTGCGACTAAGGTGAACTCTGTTGATTCTGCTGTTAACACCCAGCGCTCACTGACTCTCAGAGAATTTATCGAGAGAAAGGAATCGAACTTTGATCCTGATACAGTGCGCTCGAGCTTGTCGCCATCTTGCAGTTGAAATACCAGTTGAATCATCTGATCGCATCAGATTATTGTACTGAAATGAATGCCCGACTGCACTACCGTACTGTCTCCGAAAGCCTGAGCGGTGAAACTTGATCGGACCATCTCTGACTGCACATCCGATGATGGCCTCGGTACCGTTACGTTACGACGGTTATGTGGTCAGATGCTACCGTTGTAACGATTAGAAGCTGCTTGGAATGATGATCACGTTGCCCCAATCACATGTAGGCGGCACAGCTCAAGTTTGATTGTCTCGCTGTGAGGAGGTTCCTATGAGGTCTTGTGATAGTTGGACATGTGCTTGTGTTGCTGACTTAGCACTGTTGGATTCTACCGAATCACACTCAGATAGATTCATTTCATGATCAAGACAAACTCGGATAGATGCATTGAAGTTTACGATCAGGACTGGTGCAGACAGTGTGAGCATGTTTCACGGGATGATTGTGTGAAGATACAGAAGCGAAGATGGGTTCAATGCCAAGCTCTGTCGCCGGGAATTCATGGCGACGACTGTCTGTCATTTTCGATGCTAAGTGGCCTAAGAAAGAACCCGACCCAAACAGGGCAGTCATTCTCGCAGAGAGAGACTATCACTTCATGCCTAACAACGCTATCCTTACCTACTTCCGCACGGACTGGTACGAGCAGCTTATGGATGACACTCCTCAAAAAACTCCTGAGGTGCAGACTGACGAACAATCGTCCAGCACGGACTCATCCTTGTTCGATGAAAGTGTGCAGGAAAAAGTAGGGACTCGAGTAATCTTGTCCTCCAAGGAGGGGGTTATCAAGGTATATGAGTCTCAAGCAAAGCAGCTGATGCATCCAAGTGGAGTGAAAATGACCCTACGCAAGACAATTGACGCGCATACATGTCCTGTGGTTGGGCTGGGAGTAACTCTAGATGGGAAAAGAGCTATTTCCACAGATCAAAATGGAAGGTTTGCCATTTGGGATCTCAATTTTTGTGTTGTTCACCAATACTGTGATACGTCAATCAAGAAAGCATTTTGCTGTGACATTGCTGGTGATGGATCTATCTGCTTGATTGCAGGAAGACAAGGAGGAGAGCTTTGGAACCCGAAAGATGGGCAGTTCATCACATCTTTGGGAACCAAACAAAAACCTCCAAAGAACTTCTGGAACAATCTCGCAATCCATGAGAAAGTGCTATTCAAGCAGAAACTTCATGAGCTGGGTCTTAAACCATGGCCGGATACTGAAACACACTCTGACGTCATCAAGTGCTGCAAGTTTCAGCTTGTTTTCCCGCACTCCAAGCTCATCACTGGTTCCTGGGACAACTCCTCAATCTTGTGGGACGTCGAAGTGTCCAAGGGAATACAGCGGATGGCTGCACACACCGACAGAGTTATGTCAGTTGCAAACTGTTTCGACCCAAATGTCTGCGTGTCAGTCTCGTGGGATAAGATGGTATGCATTTGGGACTTTCGAGTGTCAAGACCGGTTCACATTTTGTCTGGCCATTCGTCTCGTATTCTGACTTGCTCGTTGAGCTACTCTAATGTTTATGAGTCTGTTTTGATGACGGGGGGTGAAGCCTCTGAACTAAAACTGTGGGACTTGAGGAGATTGCAGGAGAGAAGTTTGTATGAATATCATCAGGACACTGTTGTCGCAAGTACCTTCACGTCTACTGGTGAATATGCTGTAACGGTAATTAGAAAATTACAAGCAAAAGCATTCTTTGTGATTTCTATTCAGGTTGGACTTGACGAAAAAGTTTTACTATGGAGGTCAAGAGACCTTGTTTCAGTCAAAGCCAATATCATTGCTGGACAAGTGGAGCATGACGTCCTTGCTGTTATGAACTTGCGGCTTGATATCCATGGTGATGTTGAGAGTGGAAAGAGACATCTGAGCGAGATGTCTGCCCATCTTTGTTCAGACAAACTAGCTGGAAGCAGGTTTGAACAAGGAATTCCTGTTTCCATACAGAAGTATTGATCGATGACTCCAAGTTCTGGCTAACATTCTCACAGATGGATCGTGAATCGTGAAGGCGTTACTACAATTTTGTATCCAGAAGACAAGAAACTTGATGAATTTGGATTAGTGGATGGTGTAGAAATCAAAGTTTTCTTAGTTGATGAAAGGTGAGATGCTCCTATTATTGTGAATGTTGTTTGATATTAAGCATTCGCAGTCAAAAGAAGAAGTAGCATGCAGATGTTTTGGAATCAGGTAGTGCATACGAACTGTTCGAAAAACGTTTGTACGTAAGAATTTATTAACAAGATGCTTTTCAATGAAGAAGATGCTTTCCTCTCTATATCACATGATCATAAATCAGTCCAAGTGATCGATTCCTTGCTCGCCTCCAAGTCTGGAGCATCTCGCTTGGCGAGCTATTCCCACAGGTTTCCACTTTTGAAGAGTATTGATTGTGCATACAACCTTTCATGCGACGGCTGTAAAACATGGGAGGGTGAGGACATTCAAGTGTTGTTGAGATCTCTTGCTCGATGTTCCTGTCCAACTGTTCCAACAATTCTCCAACCGAATTTTCTGACTTCATCTCGTCTTCTAGTTCTCTGTCCAATAAAGCTCGATACTGGTCGCAGGAATGCGTTTCTCCCCTTGGAGATGCTTTGAGAACAAGTTCTGTTTGGTGCAAGACATCGGTTGAAGACAAAATTGATTGCATAGTAGGGACTTTTCAAAAAAATAAGATCAATGCGCTCTGAAGACAAAGTTTAAATTCAAAGACCCCCTTGTCGGTTTGCTCTCTGTTGATTCTTTTTCTGTTGATTCTTGTACAAGTCGGCTTGCTTGCTTGTTGAAGCACCTGATAGGAGGAAGCTTCACCTCAGACAATGCCAAACAATCGACGTGGCTCAAGTGCACAGATGCTTAGAGCCTCGGAATGCATCCCTGGAGAGGACAGCAACAGCTACAATAAGGACGACGTAGGAGAATCATGAAGAAGACAGCAAGAACCTAGGACTCGTGGATGGCAGCAGGAGATAAGCGAGATATGGCTACGCTCAAGGGGAGATTGGAAGTATCACCCCTGAAGTCATGGACATGGGAGAACAAGGGGTCTGATCAAAGAAGACAGTACTGTCATGATCATCTTAGCGGAGGACATACAAGGAATGCACGAGACCACCTCCAAGCATGCTCCTACGGAGACACAGGACCTGTCAAGGTCAAGGGAGCAGCTACATCAACTTCACAGAGAGCATTGGATGAGAATCGAAGACCTCGTCATGTCAAGCCTATGACTCTTTCTCAGGGAACCCTCAAGGTACGGAACCAGGCCTCGGACCGGTCGAAGAATCATATCGCAGATAAGAAGCGTAGAGTACCGGTAGTCGTAGTTCCTAGGACCAAGCGGACCCTATTTTAGGGACCGAGGAAGAGGAAGAAGGGCCGCACGCATTGGCAGGACAGGGAAAGGAGAACGAGGTGTACGGTCTCTGTGAGACTGGATTGCTTGAAGTAAACAAGCTTGACCATCTATACCAATCTCTTATCACCTCCGTTTGTTCTCTGTATCCTGATATCATTCCTGCGCGGCCACCATTCGTGATATCTATTACCACTGCTACAGAAACTTGCAGTCGGTGCTATCACTGTCTACTTCGGGTGTCACTGCTACTGTGACTGTGTCACCGTCTGTGGAGAGAAGGTTACTGGGAACTTCAACATTGCTGTTAAAATCTTTGAGTTCTGTTCTTGACACTTGATGCCAGTGGCTCGCACTGGGAGATCCTTGCGAGCAGCTTGTGCCTGATGCAATTTATTGGTGAAACCCCTTGTAAAGCATGCGGCCCCTCCGTCCTCCACATCAGCAGACCTTGTGATTGGATATGTAGAGGAGTCTTTTCGAATCCCAGTGACATCACTCTGCCTTCTTCCCGAGAAATTCTGAGTGAATGATATCCAGATACGAAATCCCATGCATTCGTATCTTCACCAGGTTATGAAAAGACGAGTTTCCGGCTCTACTTCCGTAAAAGGGGGACCCTTCGAAGGAGTCAGTTTTCCTTGCCAGAGGGGGTGAGGGTGCCGCCAAGAAGTCGGAGATCACGAGGGTGGTAACACCGTCGACCTTTTTGAAATTTTTGGCGTCAGGGGTGATGGCCATGCTGTTGTCAGCGCCGCCTTTCAGGTTCTCACATCATCTCAATCAGAAGCCGAATCATGGCCCAACTGCCTTCCAACATGAGCATGGCCATCCCCTCAAAGAATCCAAATCGTTCATATCGTGTGACAATTTCAAAGCGTTGCTTGACATCCATGTCGATGAAGCAATCCACGGAATTGATTTTCCCGGGGATGTTACATCATCCATGAATTCCGTTCAATTCAAACAAACTGATCTCGATGATAGCCATCTCGAACTGGAATCTTACATCAAGCACCTTCCCAGAACCCCAATCCAGACCTTAGTTTGTCCTAGTCCTCCAATGAAGTTTGAGGGAAGCAATGGAACTAGATGCAAATCTACCAGGTTGGCAAAACGCGTGAGCGAGAGTGCTGAAATGGTCGCCTGGAGATTAGCACGAAATCGTGCTGTTGGAACAGACTTGACCGAAGAGATTTTGTGAGGCAAAAAAATGATTGTAATGAAGATGTTGAGAACCATTCCTCAATCTTCCCGAGTCAAGGAAACTGTTTGAATAAAAGGTGTCGAACCGCAGACCTTTCTTTTTAATCTCCATGGTCATGAGCATACATCAACCCACTATCTGCTATACAATTCTTTCACAACATTGTCTTGACGCTGCTTTTCTCACAGCATTGTTGTAGTGGAACACGATGTCGCATGCTGTACATGATAGTTGCTGTCACTGTTGAGGATCTTTTATCACTAGTCCAGATGATACTCCAAATCTTGAATCATTGAAAAATCTGATTCAATGTCTAGAATCTGGGTACAAGCTAAAAGGCCATTCAAGAAGTATACGATGTCCATGTCAACGGAAATTGACATGCTGCAGCGTGGAATGAATTTTATCAGATTCCCTCGTTCTACTATGTAATGTTGTCCACATGCTATTCCCAAGTCTATCCTGCATCATCGTCAATCGTTTTCTTAGGTAACGCAGTCCCTCTCATGCTCTGGAAAACGTTTTCGGCCCTCGTCACTTTAATACTAGAGAGCGTTGAAGTTTGTTTCCTAGTGTATCACAATTTATCGAGGATGCAACTAATGCTTGGAGCCAGGGAGATCCATCCCAGCACACGAGACTGCATGCACACCTAGGACGCAGTAAGAAGAATACATTGACCAAACAGAGCAAGACGCCTACCACTGCAGTCTCTGTGTTTCACAGCTGCTTTAGGCTCTCGGGCTTGAATGATGCTTGACAGTGATTCACTCGCAACATTTGGTGGGACATACATTGCTTCAGAAGAAGCACGGTCCTCAGTTGGACTGAAGCAGATCATTCAGCTCATTCAGTGAAAGGAGTTTCAACTGAACCTTTTAGGATAAACAGTGGCCAACCATTGCTTGTCTCCGCCAGTCTTATTAACAGCAACAACCTTGTTCAGAATGAAGAACATCCTGCAAAACGAAAACAAATGAGAGAAAAACAACTTTGTTACGGCATAAACGAAAACAGCAATAAATCTGGTTGGAGCAAATGTAGAATAAAGATGCCGTAGAGGCCAGACAAAAGTAGAAACCATACACGACTCTACATAAATCTGCGGAAGGTTCGTGTCGGGACTCTAGATCCATTACATCTTTGTCGACCCATGCAAAGTCACGAGGATCTCAACAAGTGGAGGAGGAAGGAAGGATGGTAATGGGAAGGGGTGTAAGGGAAGGAAGGGGGGGGGGGGGGGGTGAGCAACGGGGATAAGGAAGATGGGAGGACAACAACATTGGAAATGCTTGGGAGAAGGAGAAAGCAGGCTGTGTAGACAGCAGGTTCAAAGAGCCATCAACAAATCATTGCGACACCATCAGAAATAGAAATTCGGTTACGCATATTTTGTAACGGCACATAAAAGCTGTTCTTGGAATGCAAGATGACGGCAGACGAGACGAGGACGAGTTTCAAGCAGCTCGCTCAGGTGTGCGAGACAGAGACAGACCGTGAAAGGCAGATCAAACTTGTTTTCGATGAAGTTGCTCTCTATGAATATGCCAGATGCGAAGCTGCTGATGATGATATCCTATCACATCTCCTCCATAGCATGCAGGTTTTTCCGAGAAGCAAGACGATTCAATGTTATGGCGCTGGGATCCTGTGGAAAGTTTCTCTTTTCTCCCAAGAGTGGAAGGACAAGATTGTATCTCTTGACGGCATTCGGATTGTCTGTGAGTGCCTCAAATTCAACATTCAGTGCCACAAATGCTGCCAGCATTGCTGTTGGTTGCTTTCGTCCTTGGCATACAAGAACTACTCTCGCTGCGAAGTAATCGCACAGTGCAATGCTATCGAATTGATAACTGATATGTTGAAGTTGCATTCAAAACATGTATACGTATTAGAGGCCGGCTTCTCTGTACTCAACAATCTTTCTCTCAAACGCGAACTGACGGGCAGCGACTCCAACGAGATGATGATAGCCAATGAAGAATCGCAGCGGCGAATGCAGATAGACTCATTGGGAGGTGTTCAACTTCTTGCAGATGCCTTGCAAATACATAAGAACAAGAAATTCGTTGTCAGAAAGGCTGTTAGTGCGCTATCTTACCTTTGTATTGGTGAGGAGGAAATCTTTGAGAAGCTTATTGAGCGTGGAAGTTTGAAAGATATCTTTTGCGTCCTGGAGACTCATACCAAAGATAAAAAAGTATCCCGTAACTGCCTTGCTTTGTTGGGACACATTTTGAACAATCCGAAGCTCTTATTACAAGTATTGAGAGGTTACTCACAGAATCCTGCTGTTCTCACTTATTTTTATGAGGTACTGTTCCTTTCTTTGCAACATGTTCAATATAACCGATATTTGCAACATGTTCAATATTACCCAAGAATCCTTGCAATGTTTTGATTGGGTCTTTGCAGATGATTGCTCGTAATTTGGAAACAGACAAATTTGATGAAGATTGGAGGAATCAGGTAATTGCCTATAGAATTGTATTTGGAATAGAAGTGACTGATTGGTCTCAGTTTGGGCAGCTCATTTTGGAAAATATTGAAATGGTCTTGTCACATACGAGGTAGCCCCATACCTAAAACTATACAATGCTAACGACAACAAGCAGCAATGGGCTTTTAACTACGCACGCATTGTCATGCAAGAATGCTATGCAAAAGAAAGAACAACAGTAAACGTGAAATATTTTGTAATGTAAACACGCATTTAACGTATTCAAATCGGTTTAAAGTGATTGAATAGTGTTCCTGTCTTCCGAACGCTGTAGTTTTTGTTGTTCTTGCCAACGACATTGTGCTTCCTGGGAGGTTGATTCGTTGTGGAATTCATTCCTGTCAGATTGTTGATAAGCACCTCAATTGCCTGCAAGTAAGACTATGAGACAATTACAAAGTTTGTATTAGCAAAACTCACCTGCTCAACGTTCAAATTTGATTGTTTCAATGCCAACCGGATCTTTTGCTCATCCTCAAACCCCATTTCCACCAGCACTTTGACAGACTCATCAATCGAACTATCCTTTCCGTGGGTGGTCTGTAAAGAATCCGATTTCAGCCATTTTGACATGCAATTCTCTTCTGATGCAACAACTTTCCGCTTTTTGTGGAGAGTCGAATCTGAGGTGACCTGATTCACGAGTGGGATGGGAGCTGCAGATTGATCCCCGCTCGAGTGCGCGACACGTGACGATCCATTAAAAAATTGCATGATTCCAAGATTTTTCCCCGTCTGGGTATCAGCATTCCTCTTGAGGGTTTCATCTCCATAAGCTGTTGTCAAATGCGAATCCGATATGTGTTTTGGAACCAGAAAGGACATTATCGAGTTATCAGACGATTCTAGGAAGTCACCCGCTCCTATCGCAAGTCGGCAGCATGGATACAAATCTTTTACGCGACTCAAAGTTGTTCGTACAGTTTCTTCGAGGGCCCGACAGATAGATTCCGGCGTACTTGAGTCAAGAAGTACGCTTGAAGGCATGGGGCAGGTGCGAGATTCCAAATACTTTCTTCCTTTCTCTTGGAAACGAGTATAATGCACAGTAAGATGTCGCGGCTTGCGACATTTCATCTGTCTCTCAGCAAAAATTCTCTTTGCTAGGTCCGCACAAAGCATCATAATCCAGCAATCCAACCCTGCTTCATTGTAGATGGGTGCAAAGCTTTTGAATGCTAAAATGCTTTTGCTCTTATCCCGTTCCTTAACTGGGTCATCATCAACCCCACGAACAACTTGATATATCCACTTTCCTTGCTTTTCTCCGAAGATTCGCTGCAAGACCTCGGAGCTATACTTCTGTACATCGGCAGCGCACGGATCCTTTCCATGCAGCTGCAGCATATTGAGCTTGCTGCACAGCTGGTTTCCGAACTTTCCTCCTAACCCACGAATATTTTTCAAAGGTAGTTGCTCCATCAATGACTGTACACCTTGCACAGGAACGATCGTCTGCTGATTCGGTTTGTGTCGTGCGGAAGCTAGCTTGGAAAGCATTTTGTTGTGACTGATGCCTCCGCTGCAGGTAAAACTTGTATGTTCCAGCACCCCTGCCCTCGCCGCTTGGCAGATTACAGCTCCCAGAAGCAGCTTCAGATCCTCCTCTTTGGCCGTATCTATGGTACCATAAGATTTGAACTCCTTGCTCGTGCGTTCAAGATCCTCAAAAGATGAGATGTTGCAAAACTTCTCACTTATTTCATCGAATCTATCATTCGTTTCGTTCAACCCATGTTTATCCGCGTCATTCTGTTCAAGATCAAAAATCCTTCTGTACAAATTATTTACAGTTTTTGTAACATCAATATACGCCTCGTCAATGCTCGCTTTCTCAACTATCCCATATTGTTGCAATACTTCGAACACTTCCATCGAGGCATTTCTATATCTTTCTAGGCTTACTTTCCTTGGAAGGTCATCCCTTTTCTCGTCTTGTTTCAATTGTTTGTCATTGGTATCGCCTTCAAAAGTTACAATTTCGACATGCACCAAGTGCAAATCAGGGCAAATCTTCTTTGCTTCTTCTACCCGCATGTGGCGTGTAATCCCTCGCGCTCGAGCAGGGTAATTAACTGCAATGAGTCCTTCCCATTGCTGCACAGCCAGCGGCTCCTCTCGAGAAATCCCGGTCCTTCTATGCTCCACTTGCGCATAGAATGCGTCCATGTCGATGTGTAAGATCACGCGGTTCACGAGCGATCGATAAAGCAGTGAGTCCATTCCAGGCTCAGCGACTCCAGAAGAGACCCTGGTAAGAAGAGCCAGCAGCAGAACAATCGTCAGCTTGTTGATGCTGGGCCAGTCAGAGAGCTTGGCAGGCTCAATCTCTTCGCATGATCCTCGTGGTCTTGACAACCTTCTCTTGATCTTCAAGTTCTCAGAGTGGAACAGGCTCCCCCGCCATGCTGCATAGCATAGCAGACATCACAGGCTGGATTTCGCGGGAGCAGAAAGGGACAGTTACAGCGGTTATGTGAAGGTATCAGTTAAGTTTGGGAGACAGCAGTTGGCAGGATTAGATTTGGTTCTCGCTGTCTTTTCTCTTCTCTCGGGCGGGCCGGCTAATTTTGAGTAAACTTCTGAGAAATGTGGCTTGACGGAAATAGAAGCAAGCCTCGGAAGCGCAACCATGTTTGACCATCTGAGGAGAATGTCGCGTTTGGACTTGCTGGGCGCGCGCTATTACGACAATGTAAGCTATGCTAGACATTGTCTTTGATTCTTATTCGATACTCTTTCTTGGTTTTCTCATTCATGGCTAAATTTTTCTTGTTTTGGGTGGATGACTAACTGTCGTTCATTGCAGACTAACGATGGTCTCGATGGGAACAATGGTGCAACAGAAGCCATGTGAGCTCAATTTGTTTTATTCTCCTGTCTGACTTTGAGAGTTTAGGGGCTTTCAGAACAATCGTTATGTTGGAGATGTTCGCATGAGCTCCAGTACCAACGATGACATCGAAGACTCTCCGGTTTTCATCTAGATGGCTGTGAAAATGATTTGAAGGCTGGACTGGAGTTGTGCTGGGCAGGCCAATGCCAGGAATGACAGAACACATTGTATCTTGGAATAGAGCGGGGACAGGCAATAGAACAGGAAGAAATGTTAAAGATAATGAAAGAGATCTTCGTTTGGTAGCTCTATGCGCTTGGTGTCTGATCGGTTTTGTCGCAGTACTCTGCGTCTCGATGCCTTCGGATGATACCTATCGCACCCATTCGAGCATGTTGTCAAAATTTCCTCAGTCGGTTTCGATGAAATCACTGTTGAGGCTGATGCAACATGATGAACCTCGATCACGGAACAATGAGCGAGACCTGGGAACTTTAGACTCGCGACCAACCAAAGGTAGGATGGATCAGATTGATTTCGCACAAAGTTCTGCTACTACGTTTCCCAAGGCATCCGTGCATTTTGATAGACAACCTCGGCATCAATATTCGCCACAGCCATCGGATACAAAATTTAAGAAGTTCTTTCAGAAGGTCGACCAAGAAATACATGCGCTTTCTTCGAAGTATTCATACAATGATGTTCCTTTGAGCCGAAAGGTGTGATATACTTGCCTGCATCTAGTTTTTGCCTATTCGTTAAGTCTTGGAACAGGAGGGGAAATACCCAGATTTTGACAGATCAATTACCCAAATACACCAAACTCCTAAGAAGACAAAGGATGGCCTGACATCTCAGATGTTTCAGGGCCTGTTGAAGGCGAACATGCAGAGTGCAACACTTTCTCAGATCATGAATCGAGTTGGACTAGAACAAAAGAAAATTCCTGGCTCAAACTTGCTTCATACCCTTCTTACATCCGAAGACTCGCGTTTTGACGAATTATTGCAGAATGAGTGAGTTTCGGCATTGACCATGGTTAATCAATCAAATCTGATTGCTCTTCTTTCAGCAGAACCAGGCAGGTTTGTGAACAGCTCCATGGCTTGCCTCAACTTGTAGGAGTTTTTGATTCGCTTGTGGAAAAACTGAAGCTCCAAAACCGCACGCTTGAGCATGATTCTCAGACTTCACGAGAAAAAGAAATTACACATTTGGAAGATGTCGACGACTCTTTGCGATACTATCGCTCTGAACTGGAAGCGAATGGAGTTTTGAGAAGTGAGGTCCAGTACCTCCAACATACTTTCAAGAAAGCAGATCAGGTTTATCAAGCAGAACTGGAGAGTAATTCGAAGTTTTTCTCAAAGGTTGCAGTGAACAAATTTGATTGATGCCTGATGTTTCCTACAGCTCAAGAGCAGTGAACAGGAGCTCCAAAGAGATAGAGACATTTCATCACAGGTTCTTGTTGGATCTCTCGCAAATCGGTGTTGAGTTGATTTGCAGATCCTTTCCTTGATTCAAAAATCGATTTTTGATGCGGATAACCAATCATTGTCATGGATCCCAAAAGCTCAAGGGTTGGCCAGAGAATTCAAATCCGATTTTGATCTTCCTAATCCAAGGAAAGCGCTTTTGAGGTGAATTGAGAGAAAACAAGAAAAGAATGACTTCTTTATGCAGTTTCAATACATCGAGATCAATTCAAGTTCAACAAAGCCTGCAGGCAGACCTTGATGATATCAACCGAATTATCATCGAGCATGAAAATGAGCATGCAGACCTGCTTGGTGAAGAATCAAGCTTGCGTAGACAAGTGAGAATTATGTGAATTGCTCGGCATGAATTCTGACTCCTCTCAAGGTTGAGAAGAGGAAAGAAAAGCTTCGCGAGGTTTTCCCAATTGCCACGCATCGTGCCAGGGTATTAGAAGCTGCAAAAATGGATTTGCTCTTGAAGGAGAAATCACTACACAAAGCCATCGATACACGGCTGAAGGAGAAGGTCGCATGCTTGAGAATGAAGTTATCTGTTGTAAAAATGATGCAGGCAAGGCTGGGACTCAAGGTACTTGTCCTCCTTCAAGAATTGGAGGCGGCGAAAAAGCTGCGACATCGAACGCAGCTGATTATCGAGTTCTGTCGAGGAAACTCAGTGGAGGTGTCCAGGGATCCGTTGTCCGCGTCTCCTCATGGTGGAAAGAAACATCCTACCAGTACGCAAACAAGTCGGAAGTCTTCAGTATCCCCCAAAGAGAAGGCTGTAGCATTGCAAAGACCTCAATCTGACGCCGATATGAGGATGGAGAAGCAACTTTCAGACGAGATTAATGACGACATTCGAAGTGAGCGCTTGATAGAGAAGAAAGAAGACTCGGGTATCGCATCTGTGGCCTCGATGATCATCGATAAGCCATAAGTATATTCGGTTCATATCATCCTTTAACGTGTGTGCAATGGATGAAGAACTCTCTTTACTTCTTGTCACGATCAAAGTGGACTGGCATCACCAGCTACACTGACATGTGTTGTTCTCTTCACTCCCAATCGGCCCAGTCATCATCTTTCTCGTCCTGCGCAAGAGAGTCACTCCTGTGCATGCTGGCAATTCTTTCCAGCCACCTTCTCAGCTGACTCCTGCACCTCTGCTTTTTCCCTTTTGACCTCCTCGTGACTGACGAAGACAGTAGAACCCGACGATTCATCCGATCCATTTGCAGAGCAAGTCCCGTCTATGCATGTAGACGTTGACTTGCCCAGCAGAGCGGATGGCAAATCATCCTGCTATTCGAATACGTCATGCGCAACAGTTGAGCACCTTGTTCTGAACCTTGACATCCTGACTTCCTTCAGTGGTGTCGCCCATGTCCTGAAGAAACACATCAAAGTTCCAAATGAAATCTTTAATTACAATCAGACCTTCTCGTTCCCTTTTTGCGTTTCAGAGTCACTCTCAAATCTTTCATCAGTTTTATCGTCTCCAAAATTCTCCTGCTCCATCATATATACCGATTTCTAAATGAAAGAGTGAATCACTGTGCACACCTCAGATTTCGAAATAGGCTCGGATGTAAAAAGAGATGTCTCTGCATCTCCAGCATCTGTTTGTTTCGATTTTGGGGCTTGGTCCTCGCAATGCACATCCCGTTCTACTGGATCCGTCTCCGGGACCTCCACTTGGTCTTCCTTGCTATCTTTGCTTTCAGATTTGCTTGCTGGGAATCCGGCTTGATTTGAAGGGAGGGATGCTGTTTCATCCTCATCCCACTTGAAGTCTTCATCGTCAAACAGCTGGGCTGCCTATGATTGGCACCATCGGAGAGGGATGTGGTCAGTCTCTTTCTTGCGCATTCTGATGTACCGTGAGAAACTTGTGCTTGCGAGCTTCTTCATCCGCAATTGACTTCGCACCGAAGAAGTAACGGGCCCAGAACAGCTTGTACGTGACTATTTCCTGTGTGAAACCATCATAGGCACGACTTCCATCATAGAGGCTACGCCAACCGGAACTAGCTCATCGTGATATGAGCGTACAGACTCCACATCCTGTAGAAGGTCGCTGATCTCCATGGAGAGCTTTGATGCATCAAACCCCTGGTCGAGTTCAGCAATGGAAGGCGACTCGCATAAATTTCAACCTCGAGGAAGCAGGCAAAGGCGTCATGGTCGGCTGGATCGTTTGTGAATGTTTCTTTTGTATTTTGTAATGAGATAAGCTTCGGGTTAACCCTGAGCAACTGTTAGTTGCGAACTTTCATATCATGATCATGACAGGAATTACCGATTGCTCTTGCTACAATCACTTTGTCTGGACTTTGGAAGCTGCTTAGCTTTGTGATCACTTCCACTTGTCTGTTTTTGGCATTTTTTTGGGAGGGGAGGCATATGAAATCAGACTTATCAGAGTTGCAGTGAACTGCAACTCACTTTGTTGGCCAGACTTTTCTCGATAGTGCCGCGTGTTTTCGCAACTGCTTCGGTTGTATCTTTGGAAACAACTGATGCAAACTCACCTGTGATGTACAAAGGTCACACTCGGAGACGAGTTTTGCAACAGCTACCAATGTCTCGCTTGTATACTTCCATGAGGTCTTTGCTTTTCTCTTTGATTGACGCTAGCCATCCACCGACACCCACTATAAAGGTCAGCAATCTCTCAAAACAGTATCATGGATCATGCAATATGGTTTGTTTACCTTCCTTGTCATTGGCCTCGTCAGTGTTTCCAGTCAAACGATTCAAGAAATTCATTGTCTGCCTTGCTGTTACATGTTGAAAACCCCATAAAAGGAGGAGAAGGACGGAAAAGTCTATTTGTAGCAGATCATACAGAAGTCTATCTATTTCTCATCGCATCTAATGAACTGTTTTCAATATGTCTATGTGTTTCTCGCTGCATGTCATCAAATGTTCTGCATGTACGTTCTAGATCAATCAGGGGTTGGGGTTTAGGGTTTAGGCAGCGCCAGGTATTTCAGGCAGCGCGCCCGCCGCCGGCCGGCCGGCCCGCCGGGGCCCGGTTAGGGCTTAGGAGAGGCATTGAACTCTTCTGACTGAGGCTGAGGAAGCTGAAGGGAGGAGGAGTAGTTGGCGACCGAAGGGGTTTAGGGTTTAGGGTTTAGGGTTTAGGGTTATGAAAGTGTTCGCAACATGCTGCGAGAGAGTGAAGAGCTTCGCGAAGCGATTTCCAGGCTCCTAACAGTAGGACAGCTCAGGCTTGCAAGGCTGTGACGTGAGCTTCTACAAGAAGCAATGACTGGATGGAGTGACGCATCCAGACAATCCGGTTTCTGCAGCAGATGGAGGAAGCCAAGAAGGAGAAGGTTGAGACAGCAAGAGAGTAAAGCGATCATGTGGAAGGCTCCGTATAGATCCGAGATAGCGAGTGCTGATAAGATCCCGGTGACTATTTCCTTCCTCCGAGGCTCCGCAATGCACAAGCGGAGAAGCTCTGGCAGGGAAGAGAGGACTTCGCGATCGATGGTCGCAAGTTCACAGCTGTACATGTGAGCATCGTGCACGATCGATCTTTCAAGATTCGAGCCAAGAGAGGACCCTGGGGCAAAGGGGGCAGCTTGGCAGAGCTGACTCACCTGCTAACCTTGGGCGGCATGACAACGGCTGAGATAGCTGCCGTCTATCGCTATCAGCTGCTGCGCCAGTCCCTTGCAGCGGTCCAACTCCAGCCGCTGGCAGGCATGCTGGTCGCTGGGGCGCCAGGACAGCAAGTCCACAAAGGCTTAGGTCAGAAAGGCTTCGTCGCTGTAGGGGCCAACGTCATCTGGAGACAGAGGGAGGTGGAGTGGATCATCTCCTCGAGCTGCCCAGAGGCGAATGATACAGCATTTCGAGCTTTCCGAGAGAGCGAAGCGATGGAGGGAGTACACCTGACTCTGTTCAGCGAGGACCCGAAGATCAGAGAGGCGCTCGCAGTCGAGTTGACAGCTGATCGCTTTGTGTCCAGAAATAAGTTGAAGAAGGCATCAAGGATGCAGAAGAAGGCAGGCGGCAAGGACGGCAAGGAGATCAAGATCATCATCAAGTCGACGGCGGCATCTGGTCGCTTCACGAGGAAGGAGATGGAGGGGCTGTGCAACGGCGGCAACACGTCTATCGCAAGAGTCAAGAGAGTCTTGTTGGAGATCGCTAACAGGCTCGAGATCAACGTTGAAGGCATCGACATGGAGGAGGATTTGAACACCAAGTCCTGGAACGGGTCCAAGCTATGCATCCTCCTCGGCTCCACGGAGGATGCTCGACGCATGATGAAGGAGCTGCCCTTCTATCTCGAAGGCGCAGCAACCAAGCTCGAAGCAGTCGGCTTCGACAAGGAGCCTGAGGCGGCTGGTCAGCGGGGCACCAGCGACGCAGCGCAGCGACAGGAGGAGAGCGAGGGAGAGTGGCTGGAGTTTACAGACCTGGAGAGGATCACAATGGAGGCAGCATCTCCGTCAAGCCAAGAGGACATGCAGCTCGTCAGCGAGCTGTCAGCAGTCATCGAAGATGCAGCTTCTTTGAACGAGACGGGGACGAGCGAGCCGATCAAGCTGGTCCTGGACAAGGCCGTTGGCAACCTCCACGACACGTTCTACTCTCCGGGGAGCCTGGAGTTCATGTCGCTGGGAGAGTGGGCGAAGATGCCAGAGGAGCAGGGAGTTGGGCGCAACGTTCTCAAGGAGAAGCCTGTGGCTATG